CCATGTGAGGAACCTCTTAGTGCTCTCAATGCTCCCCTGGAAAGGATAGCATGCTGAGAGTTACCCAGCCTCCCTTGTCTCCAGGGTCCCCTGAAAGAATGGAGAAGGAAGGCCTGATGTGAAATTAACCTCACCTCATTTCTTCCACAGGACCCCACATAGCAACCTGTGAGGATTTCCTTCAAGATGGTTCAGGGCCAAGAGAAAAAGCACCTCTACCCCTTTGGGATCCCTTACTTCTGCCCTGGTTCTCCTGAATTTATTTCAAGACCAACGATTGCTGCTTCCCAACTACTCTTGCCACGTGGTGGGACCATCCTTCAGAGGAGACAGGCTTTGTGGAGAACCCAGAAGAGGTCTTCTCTTCCACTTAGTTGGTGGACAATCAAGAGTGCTGCCTTCGAGATGTCAGACACATCCTCACTGGGGGAGGGGAGCCATGGCCAACTGCACAAAGGCTGAGTCATCCTGCTCATGTGTGCCCCAGCCACACTGTGTTCTGCACAGAGGCCTGAGGCAAGTGGAGAGGGAAGGGACAGGTGTGCAGTTAGAGCAAGGAGGAAGAACTGGGAAAGGGGGCAGAGATGGTACAGCAGATCTAAGGTGAGAGGGGCAGCTGACTTACATGGGGACAGCAGGAGAAGAAAGGAAAGTAGGGAAGGATTGATATCACAGAGGCAAGGATGAGCTGAGAAGTACCAAGAAGGGGGGATACAGTAGGATCTTTTGGAACTACAGAGATGCTGTGCCACTTCCTGGTTTTGTGGCCTTAAGACCTCAGCTTCTCCAGGGTGTTTCATCTGTAAAATGGGGTAATAAGTATCCCTAACTCAGAGAGTTATTGTAATAAATAAGAATGCATTTTAAGCACTAAATTGAGATCCAGGCATACAGAGAGTATTTTTAAAACTTGTTAATGTTCTTCTCCGTCCATTAAAAATTTCCTCGTTTTCCTCCTTTGGATTTTCCTAAACCTCAACTGGGGTAACTTCAGGACAAGGGCTCTGGATTCCCCACATCTTGTCTTCATCATACAGCCCTGTGAAAGTGGTAATGGCTACATGTTTTCTTTTTATTTTAATCCTTACCTGATGATATTTTTTCCATTGCTTTTTAGAGAGAGTGGAAGAGAGAGAGAAACATCCATGTGAGAGAAACACATTGATTGGTTGCCTCCCGGACATGCCCCCACCCAGTCCGGGGATGGAGCCTGCAACCCAGGCATGTGCCCTTGGCCAGAATCAAACCCAGGACCCTTTAGTCCGCAGACCAACGTTCTAACCAGTGAGCCAAACCAGCTAGGGCTACATGTTTTCTTAAACTTCCCCAGACTGTTACTTGTCAGGTTCTGGTCATTCCTCCTCTGCCTGCCACATCTCCTTAATCTATTCTCGCCTCTCTATTCTCCTGATGGAAACCCTTGGGATACATTGAATGTGGGAAATAGTCCACCAGAGCTTAAATGCCAGAGATTTCACATTGGAGACAACTATTTCCTTTTCTTTTAAAAATGTTTTTATTGATTTCAGAGAGAGGAAGGGAGAGGGAGAGAGAAAAATATCAATGATGAAAGAGAATCATCAATCAGCTGCCTCCTGCATGCCCCCTACTGAGGACTGAGCCCCCAACCCGGGCATGTGCTCTGACAGGGAATCGAACCGTGATCTCCAGGTTCATGGGTCAACACGCAACTGCTGAGCCACACTAGCCCGGCTGGAGACAACCCATTTCCATCCACCTCCACAGGCCACGGTCACACTTTTCTTGGACTGTTTTAATAGCTCCCTGACCAGTCTTCCTTTCTCCTTAGACTCTCTTCACCTGATTTCCTACGGTTTATCCCACATAGTATGTCAGGGTGAGCAAAACCTTACTCAGGGACCTTCAGGGAATTCCCATTGCCCACTAAATAAACTGCCAACACCTTACTCTGCATTTTTTGTTGTTGTTAATCCTCGCTTGAGGATATTTTTTCCCCATTGATTTTTAGAGAGAGTAGAAGGGAGCGAGAGAAGGGGAGAGAGAGAGAAAACATTGATGTGAGAGAAACACATCTATTGGTTGCCTCCCACACTCGCCCCGACCAGGGCCAGGGATCGAACCCAAAACCCAGGTATGTGCCCTGGACAGGGAATCAAACCCGAGACCCTTTGGTACTCAGGCCAATGCTTCAGCCACTGAGCCACACTAGCCAGGGCTTAGCCTGCAGTCTTATATCTTCTGTCTTGAACTGGTAATCATGATTGATTTTTTTCTTTGGTCCCCACTAGATAGTAAACTACTTCACACCAAGACCCAATTGTTCATCATTCAACAAATATTTATTGAGCACTTCTTTTGTTCTAAGCACCCTTCTAGATGCTGGGGATACATCAGATAATCACCAAGCAAAAATCCCTGCCCCCAGGGAACTTACATTCTACCTGGGAAGGGGGAGGAGACAGACAATAAGTTATAATAAATAAATACGTAAATTATATAGTATGTAGAAGATACTTGCTATGTGAGTTTTAATTACCTTTGGGATTCATTCACATACCTGCATATAAAAACAGTCAAGTAATTTGTAAAAATTGTGTTCAGTTCTGTTTGGATAGGAACATGTGCTGAGGCTTTGGACTAGGGCCAAGTTTGGTAATCCCAGGGTTGTAAGGGCGGGGGTCCTGAACCCTAAGAATGAAGCAAGATGGAGCAGGTGCTACCCATCAGGCCTCTTCTAGAACAGCAGGAGGTAAGGGCCTGGTCTAGGACTCTAACCTTCCTCCAGATGGTGGAAGGCCCAGACTTCAAGGCTATCGCTGAGGAACCTGGGTCAGTTCTCTGGTTTGGCCACCAGGGGTCATTTTATACCTGTAAATCACCATCTGGAAGAATTACATAGACACACAAAAGGCTAGTCCAAACTACACAGGGAAACTCCCACGCTATTGTGCCGTGCGCGTCCACGCTCTCACACGTGTGTACACACACACACACACACAGAAACGTACAGCATTGAGAGATAGGCACAAAAATGCATGCAAAACCTATGCATGGCAACAACTCCCTCACTAAAGCTAGAGTCTCAAGATGTCAAAAGGCCAACTAAACAACCCTTCCCAGTCTTCCATTTCTCTTGCCTCCAGCTTGCTAAGAACCGCCAGCCTATTCCTGTCCTCCCTTCCCACTCTAACTTCCCTGTAAACTCTTCTTTCCTGGCTGTGACACAGTTCCTTGTCCCTCCCTGGAGGAACTCCACCCCCTCCTCCTGAGTGTTCCTGTGACTAGTTCCACTACCACCTTCGGGCTACTGCTCCAGGAAGCCCAAAGCCGGGTTCCATTTGGTGTGCAGTTCCTACTATCCCCCACCCACCCCCAAATCCCAAGCCTTAATGACTACAATTAGCAATTGATTTGAGCATTGCTCTCTCCACAGCAATAAAAACACTGTATATAATGCCCTGGGAAGAAGTTACACAAGAACTCTTAATACTTTAGTATAGGTATGGTTCTCAAAGTGTGGTCTGGGGACCGACTCTTTGAGAAGTCCATGAGGTCAAAACTGTTTTCATAATACTATTGTCATTTGTTCTTCTCACTTTCATTCTATCATAACTATACAGTGGGGTTTTCCAGAGCCTTCATGAAATTTGATATCATTGTTCTCACAGCTAATGGAATGCGTGTGCTTACGTATTTGTGTGGGTTTTTTTTTTGTTTTTTTTATTGATTTTAGAGATAGAGAAAGGGAGAGGGGAGAGAGAGAGAAACATGGATGAGAAACACAAATCAGCTGCCTCCTGCATGCCCCCTACTGGGGATCAAGCAAGCAAAACTAGGGCGTGTGTCCTGACCTCCTGATGCATGGGACAACACTCAACCAACGGAGCCACACCAGCCGGGGCATGTATTTCTGTTTTAAAAACTTCGTTTTAGTGTCTAAGATGGTAAGTATCAAAAGAACAAAGTATATGCAAAAGCTCTTTGGAATCCTCAATTTTTAAGTGTGTACAGGATCTGAGACTAAAAAGTTTGAGAATTGCTACTACAGTACAAATAATTGTTTCCTTTTGCTACATGAAGCAGTGGGGAGTGGAGTGGGGGGGTACTTAGGACCTACAATGGAGGAGGTCTTGAAAGGGGATTGGAGTGTAAAGATAAGAAAAGACCTAGAAAGGGGAACAGGGACCAAGATTTTGGAGGAAAAAAACCTTCTCGTAGTTTTGACCTGCCCCCAGCCACCCCATGTTGGAGGTCAGGTCTAAATTGTTACAAGTCTTTAAACAAGAAGGAAACCAGTTTTATTGTATCCAATAAATTCTTGTATTATGCCTCTCAATGCTGGTGAGGGAAAGCCGGGGTGGAAATGAAATGTGGGTGGCATCTATGGCCCTAAAACTGCTGTGGTCAGTCTAAATCCAGGACATTCATTTTCTGCTCCATCTACCAGCTCTGGGCAGTGATTCAAGTGCCCCCCCC